CTCTTTGATGCAGATCTACAAAGGAGGCAGAACAGAACCTGCAAGGACAGTGGTGTTGGCTATAGTGGAAATCGCAGCAGGTGCGTCAAGAACTGAAGGGAAAGTTAGGCATGGAAAGAGAAGGTTGTAGGATCAGAAGTTAGAAGAGACCTTAGAGATTGTTGAATCCAAGGGTCCCTAACCTGAAGTCTCAAAGGGGCCGTGGACAGATGGATTTAAGGAGATCTGTGGACTTGGATGGGAAAACTTAGCATCTTTGTTTCAATATAATTGGTTTCCTTTGTAATATGATATATTTTATTTCACACATTTAAAAATATTATTCTGAGAAAAGGTCCATAGATTTCAGCAGAGTGCCAAAGAGGGGGGGTGGGGGGGTGTCTGTGTTTAGAATTCCTGATCTACTCCAACGAGCCCACCCCTATTGTCCCATTCCCTGTCCCTGATGGTTCCACTATTAAAAGCTTTATAGATAAGAAAACAGCCTTAGAGAGAGAAAATTACTTGTCCACAGTCACATCAGTAGTAGTAGAATTGGATTTGAACCCAAACCATGTGACACCAGATCCAGTGCGTTTCTCAAGACATTCCCTTCTGACTCATTGCTTTTGTCGATGACCTGTTCCCTGCCTAGACTGTCAACTCCTCAGGGATGGCCACTGAGCTTTCTCTTCTTTTATCATCTTCTCAGCCCCTACTACTGTACTCATGAGTGTAACTGATAAATCAGGATTTTTTTTCCTTTTCCCTGAAGTCCTTGTAACTTCCAGTTAGTGCACAGAGAGGGGTTGGCTTGGGTACGGTAGGGCATGAGGGGTGGAAGTGAAGATGTGTATGTCATGAAAAGGAGAAGCAAGCAATAAACATATGAGTGTATTGGCTGTGAACTTTTGAATGAGGTAGACAATTTTTTTTTCTTTAGAACATGTCACCAGCCCGTGATCCTTTTGAGGCTGTCTATCCTGTCCATCTGCATCCTGATGATGGGGATGGGGGTCATCACCACTGCAGCTGTTTTACTCAAGAGGAAGCGAATTCAAAAGCATCATTGGGGTAAGTTGTAAGTAGTGGGAGCAGGGATAGGAGGAAGCAGGAGAAGCCACAAGGGCACCCCTGCTAATGGTTCCCACGGCAAAGGGTTGGCTCCCAGACAAGTGAAGGAAAGCTTCTCTTTAGCCACCTGGCTCTGGAGACCTGAGCAAGCCAGCCTGAGATCCAGGGAAAATATGCAGGTCCTGGGTATTTAGATGATATAAAAGTTTGCAAAGTGCTCTCTTTGCATATATGAATTCAGTTTGTCTCCACAATGCCAACCAGAGGCCAAAGGCTTTCTCAGCCCAAGAGCTGTGGGAGGAGTTTCTACCCTTGTCTAGAAGGGGCTGGTTGCTCCCTTTAAAGAAGTTCAGGCCCCATCCAATGGAGATTAGAGTATTTACTCCTGGTGATACTGCAGGAGTGAAGATTTTCAGGGCCCTTTTATGCCTCCGGCAAACCAGATTGAAATTGTGAGTAGGGGGAGGAGGAGGAGGCAGCTGTAGGCTTTGCCATCCAGAGTTACTATGTTCTAAAGTTCCCTGTGTCCTTATGCTTCCACAGGTAAGGTCCTGATTAAACTCGGAGATCACAGCCTTGGTTCGTCTCCCATGGTACCCAAGCCTCTGGTAAGCCTCCAGATTTGCTGTTCTATTCCAGGCCCCAGCCTGACAGTGGCTCTTTGCGTGGGCCTCAGAAGTTTCTCTGTTCCTCAGCAGAGAACGGTATTAAGGCCCTGACCACAAAGGGGCCTCTGGGGTGCTTCAACTAGAAGGTTTGCTTCTGCTTCCAGTTATTTACATTTTGATGTGCCCCAGAACTAATTCTGGGCCTCCAGTTAGTACAAAATTCCTGGCACTTAAGTATCAGAAAGTACTAAGTGTATTTATCTTCTTTTTCCATATGGACACACAGAGAGAGGGAGCATGCTGGGACAACCAAGAAGGCCTGTGTCATAGCCCAGCTATTTTATCATCCCTCACATAAAAATCCTCTTGAGGAAGGGAAGCTTCGTTGTCTAGCAGCTCTCGTAGGCTAGCTATGCAATGCTTTTCCCAATACTTCTAGTATTTATAGGGGAGAGGAACAACTTTAGACACAAGTGCTCATTCTAATGCTTGGTAGCTGGTTGTTGGTGGGTGACTAATCCCAATAACCCAGAAATAGCCTGGCCTGGATGAAGAGGCTCTAGAATGCAGACATCCACATTTTTCCAGTAATGAACCACATAATCAGAAATCTCTATTTATGCAGCCCACACAAATGTAATTTTAGAATTAATTACATTCAACTTCAAGGATAATTACTCATTGATCTAACCCTACTACCATCTAGTTACACAGCTGTAGTGTTAGACAAGTCATTAGGTCCTGATAGCCTGCTAAATCCTCTGTGCTAGCTAATTTGGTAATTTTTTTTTTTTAAGTTTTAGGTGACCTGTAACAGCCCAGGGTCAGGTGGGCTGAATTTAGCACAAGGCCTACACTACACCCTGGAGGCCTCATCTGTAGAAGCTGGGGATGTGAGGAGGGGGAGGAGGGGAGAGAGGCCAGTTAGCCTGAGACCCCCTCTATAGAAATGGAAATGATGGAACCTTAACACAGTAAATCCCCCAGACATCAGAAAACAAAACAAAATCTTCAAAGGTTTTTATTATAGCTGAATGATAAGAACTGATATTTTTTAAATCCTTTAAGATTTGCAAAGTGCTTTTATGACTTAGCTCATTTGAGCCTCACAAGGACTCTTTGGGAATATTATTATCCCTATTTTACAAATGACAAAATGGAGGCCAGGAGAGACTAGGTCAAGGTGGGGAACCTGTGGCCTAGAGGCCACTTGTGGCCCTCTAGATCTGTAGGGATTTGTTCGGTGAAGGATTCAATCAAAGAGCCTCACTTGAGGACCTCAAGGCCATAGGTTTGCCCCTGGTCACAGAAGTAGGAAGTATGGAGGTGGGATTTGGGGTTGACTTTCCCAACTCTAAGCTCAATACTCTATTGACTATGTTACTCTGTAGTAGCTAGGCCCTAACCATGGGGAATGTCATGATTTATGCTTTCAGCTAACTCTATGCTTTGGGTTCAGAACCCCTGGAACTATCCCCCAAAGCTGTAGGTCAAATGAAGAGCCCTTAGCAGCTAAAAGAGAAGGCCCTGGGCTTTCTCCCCCCTTACTGTGCCGAGCTGGGGCTAGAGGTCTTGACCTTTCTCAGTTCTGATTGAAAGCTCCTAGCGATTACCTAAGGGCATCAGGGTAGCTTAGCAGAAGACCTAACTAAGGATGTTCCAGTGGCTAGGAGCTCTGAGTCCTCCAGCTCCATCACTAATCTCGGTGGGACCCTAGGCACGGTACAGTGTCTGAGCCTGGTTAGTCACCTATGAAATGGAGGCATTCATGTGCAGAGCCCTGGGCTAGGTGCTGAGGGATGTACAAAATTTAGATCAGACAGTCTTTGCTCTAGTCCAGTTTACATTCTGGGGAGCATGAGGGGGCGTTAGTTAAGTGGTGCAGTGAGGAGTGGTGCTAATAGCTGTGACTTGTTTCCCCAAACTCTTCTCTATTAAAACCCTGAAAATTTTCTGAATGAGCTCAGTTGAATGCTTCTTTCCGAAAACTAGTGATATATTCAGGGCCTAAGCCAGAGCAATTCAGAATAAGCAAGCTTTCTCTTGCATTGATGAGGCTGGAAAAGTGGCCTTTGACTGAAGTCCTGAGGCATAGCTTTGCAAATTCATTTCCCTTAATAGGTATATGCAAAAAGTTTGTGGCTCTTTGTATGTAGTGGCAGGTGATATATCTCAATTCAACCATCTCTTTCTTTCTCCAGCAAAGTAGATGACTCTATGAAGTCCTTCTTGGGCCAACTGACTATGCAAGAAAAGGCTCATGGGAACAGATGTGATGGAAGATTTCTCAAAAAACAGAAATCAGAAATAAAATAATGCCGTAGCAGAATCACATGGTTACTGGCTCAGGTCTCAGGAATTGATACCAATCTCTCAGCCTTTAACTCCATTTGCAAATGATTATAAATGATGGTTACAGGTAGGCAAAACATCTTCATCAAGGCTGCAACCAGAAAACAACCCAAAGACCTCTCTACTTAGGTACTTTCTATTAGTAGAAATGGTCAAGGGGGTGAAATCTGATTATTTGGCCCAGAGGAATGTCTACATTTTTTCTGTAAGCCGTTAAATTCCTGGATAAAACAGTAATGTACTGGAGGGTACCATAGGTTTCTCTAGGAATCTCAATAGGTTATTTCAACAGAAATTTTTCTTGAAAATAGCTCCATGAATCCTAGGTAGGAGGTCATAATACCATTAAATCTTAAGAGATGATTAGGGATTAACCCTATCTGGAGTCTGGTGGATGGATGGGGCTATTTATTTCTTATACTTTTTTGGTGTGCAGACTCCTTCAGCAGAGCACAGGGCTGTGTAGGCCACCAACTTTCACCAGAATTAAATGGCACAGCTTTTGATGAGTGAGATAACCTGTAAGGGATATCATGAGTAAACTATAAATTCATTCTGGAAACAGAAGTCAGATTACAAACATTAACACCAGGGGACGCCAGACTGCTGATCACCTAGAGAATCTTACAATCACACTTCTTAAACTAGCAGGCCAAATGACCCGTCAAGGTGCCTGGAACCCTATGATTCTGTTTGGCTGTCTTAGAAGCAAACAACAAAAAGCTAGAGGTGACTGGACAAAGCCTGCTGCATCTGGGGCCAGTTTTAAGAACTGTGGGCTTTTGAGCTAGAAATTTTCTAATCCTCATAGGGGCCAATCTTACCTCAGGTCCCACAACCACGGAGAAAGAAAACAGGTGAGATGCCCCCCTATATAAGGGCTTGCTGATTCCAATAAACAAGCAGAACCTTGAGCCCTCTTCAAGAAAGCGGAGGAAAGAGGAGCTTGATTCATTTCTCAACAAGCAGCAGAGAATCACGGGATGGTTCCGTTTTTTCATATCTTTATAAGGTATGTTCCTTCAACAGAGGAGGATAAGGAATTGGACCTCACACAGAAGTTAGGGAAAAACCCCAGCTCCCTTGCTTAGACAAACAGCCCAGCAGAAACAAAGGGGAACATTCTCTTAGGTTCCACTGCCATCATGGGGCTGGTGGGGTTAGCTTATGTTCCATTTTCCTGCTTAGTATTAACCATTTTCCCAAACTTGGTTTCCCTCACGGTAGCCTCTTCTTTGCCTATGAGTCTGCTGTTAGAGGAAGGGTGTAATGACTTTTACTCAGATTATTCTTCCTCTGTCTCTTTTCTACCTCAGATTCCTAATTCCTTAGAAATTGCACTTGGTCCCATTTCCGGCTTCTGGCTTTTCCTCACCATTGTGGTAACTGACTCCCTTTCCTAAGGGCCTGTGATCTTGTGGTTCTGAGCTTTAGAGAAAGTTTGGAGGGCTCAGGCACAGGCTATCAAGAAACAATCCAAGTTTGTGTAAGGTGTCTTTATTGTGAATTTTCCAGCTGCTCCTCCAAAGTCACTTAACACCATTAACTGCACTCACTGAACTTTATATGCTATATATAGCTGTAATAGTCTACAAAAGAGACACAGTCCCTACCTTCCATGATCTTACAGACTGAGTCAAAGCCAGAGGATCTGCAATCCCTTCTACGGCTACTTTTGAAATTACTAGATAAGGGGTAGCTCAGGAGGACCCGAGTTCAAGTCTGGCCTCAGACTTGACCCTGGGCAAGTCACGTAACCCTGATTGCCTCACCAAAAAAGCAAAAAAAAAAATTACTAGATTAAGTATTTAAATATGTCACAACCATATAGGGATTGTTGGGACGCACAGGATGAAGGGGACCAAAATCTGGAAAAGAGAAAACGGTCCCGGGCTAGGGCCATCAGGTCTAGCGGATCTCCCCACTTCCACTGGTGGCAGGGCTGGTTTTGGTTTGCACTTTGATTTGTGCATAGACAATGGGTTCCAATTCTTCTCGCTGGTTTTGCGCAAAGCAGACTCTGTCTTCTTCTGAATCTTTGAGAGACACATCAGCACAGGTAAGGGCTTCCTCAGCAGTGGGGCAACACTGTAGGGAAGATATGGAATAGAAGAAGTGACTGAGATTCAGAGTTGGGGGCCATTGGAGCAAAACCTGTCCGAGGAAACAGGACATTAGGGTAGCAGGAACCAGAGGTCTGGAAAGCTTTGGATTGCAGGGTTAATGGCCATGTAAAGGCATTAGAAAGAGTCCTTCTCGGAGTCCTTTCCCTTAGCTTCCCAAAAAGCCCAAGCTGCTCCTACTTCTGGTGCTATAAAGTCCAGATGGAAGTGTCAAGGCTCAGATGATCTTAAACTTGCTCATTCCATGCAGTAAATAAAGGCATTTTGGCTTAATGTCCTCTGATCACAGAATTCTCTTACCTTGTGGGAAGGGTCTGAGGCCCGGGAAATTGCCTGGGAGCTGCTGGTTGGATCTGTCAGAAGATCAAAGAGAAAGAGGCACAGACCTTACAAACGGGGCCTGGAGAAAGAGGAAGCTAGCTTCCCTCTGGCACCTACTTAGGGGCTCTGATGGGAGAAGTCGGGAATAGGAATCTCCAGTCCTGAGGGAGTGGTGAGGAGAGATAAGGCAGCGTGGTTTGTGGGTTTTTTGGGGTTTTTTTTCCAGTCATCTACTCACTAAAAAAGTAGTGGAGTTCTTAGTTTAGAATATATGCCACATATCACTGCGTACTGGTGACAGGCAAAAGCGCAGTCCCTGCTTTCAAGGAGCTGACTCTATAACGGAGACTCCATGCCAACAACTATATGCACGTGAGATACACACAGGATAAATGGAGTTTCAAAGGGGAGGAACTAGTGGTCGGGACGGTAAAAGCCTCTTAAGGAAGGTGACTTCTGAGTCTTAAAGGAAGCCAGGTCAGCTAGAAGGTAAGACTGAGGAGGCACACAGGTGGGGGATGGAACCTTCTATGTGAAGAATAACATGAAGGTCGATGTCACTGGATCATAGACTATAAAAAGACTGGAAAGCTAGGAAGAGGCCAGCTTGTAAAGGGATTTAAAAGCCAAACTGAGGAATTTGTTTGATCCTGGAAGTAACAGGGAACCACTGGAATTGTGGGGTGGGGAGGACTTGACTTTAGGAAGATCACTTTACAAGTGCTGTTCTATAGAGAGAGAAGGGTCTTCGAACCTCTTTTAGGGACCACTTACATTTGGGGCAGCTCTTCTTGATGAGGCAGATGATGGCAGTGACCAGAAGCGTCAGAAGGACCCCAGCAGCAAATGCCATAAATAAGTAGGGGTATATTCTGTTTTGGCAAACAGGGGATAAATGAGCCCTTTGAAATCCAAGCCAGAATGTAGCCTTGTTTTACTATGAGAACACTCACAAAATATAAACCTTATTCACTGAATTTATCCTTATCACCCTAATCTTACCTCTCTTAGCCATCACTGAATCACAGGCATAAATTGTTAAAGTTCAAGTCAACAAGCATTAAGTGCATACCACCCCTGAACTAAGCCCTGGGGATACAAATACCAGAAAGACAGTCTCTGCCCTCAAGGAGCTTACATTCTAATGGAGGAAGACAAGGTATAAAATTGCAGGGTAGGGAAGGTCTGGAGAACTAACGAGGTTTCAATATCCCTTTCGTCTCTGAGCTGTTATCTCCCCACACAAAACCACACACATCCTTGACCCCAGGTAAAGAGGACCAGAGATAACTTACTTCTCGAGAGCAATAGTTGGGCAATCTGGTATATCAGTGTGTGTGGCTTCTGTTGATGTGCCGTGTGGTTTTTCTACAATGGAATTACAAATATATGTTAAGGAACCCTTTGTCCAGTGAGGGGCTCCACCGTACCTCAGAAGATGGCTGCAGGTGAAGACTTAATGCCAGTGGAACCGGGAATTAGATCAGTAGGGACTCTCAAATTCTTGACTAGCTATAAAAACAAACAAAAACATCTTTAAAAGACAGAAGGCCACACTAGAGAGTACACTAGTCTTAGGAAGCACTTGGATGCCAATTCTGCCCCAGATACTTACTACAGCCCTGGGCAGGACATTTAAGCTCTTTCAGCCTCAATTTCCTCATCTGTAAAATGGGGATAAGAATACCTGTCTTAGAGGGCTGTTGGGATCAAATGAGAAGCGAGTGAAGAATCATGAGCCACGAAGTGCTATATAAATGTCAGCTGTTACAAGTAAAATTTACAAGCATGAAGTGGGGAAACAGACAAAAACAAAATTCCTTTCCTCAAGGAGCTTACATTCTACTTTCATACAGTATTTGTGCAAATGAGTAAGGGCACATAGTTCATTCAGGTTTTGATATTGCCCTGTATCTTTCACCTTGGCTGACACAGGAAAAGGAGAAATAATCATGTATATGCATGTGTGTATATATAAACATATATACACACACACACACATAGTATGGGAATGTACATGTGTTTGAATATTGCATATATATGGGTATATATATGCACATTTATACACACATATACATATATGCCCATACATATCCACCAAAGGCTACAGCAATCAATTCTTACTTGCTCCAGTATGGTTCCCCCCACTCTGAACTACCAGGTCGCTCATCGGTCTTGGTTCTAGATGGATAAACTAACTAATGGAGCATAGCATGATAAGGCCTTTGTGATTACATAGTCCCAACGGGCCTTTGTCCCATCCTCTCCTATCTTCTCCAGAGGTCTGTTCCGTTGATCATCGTCCCCCTCCTCCCCAACTCTTTAAAATCTTCAGTCTTTTTTTATCCAATACCTTCTTCCCTACTGTGTACAAATGTGCCTAGGTCTCTCCTAGCCTTTAAAAAAAAGTACCCGTTGGCCCTGTTAGCCTCTCAAGCTGTCATCCTCTCTTTCACCGCCAAACTCCTAGAAAAAGCTGTCTATCCTAGTTGTCTCCGCCTCGCCTTCCTCAGCTTGGATCTGGCTTCCAAGGCTGCCAATGCTAAACTCAGCGGGCTCTCCCCAGTCTCCGTCCTCCCTGGATTCATTCTTCTACCTGGCTTTTCGTTACGCTGCCCTCTCCTAGTTCTTTCTGTCCATCTGACTGCTTCTAAGCTCCCTGGGTCATCATCAAGGCATTACTCTCTGTGGAGACCAAGACAGACCCCCGTTATCTCCCATCCCCAAACCCGTTCCTCATCCTAACTTCCCTACCAAGGGAAACACTGTCATCCTAATCATCCAGGTTGAGACTGCCATCCTTGACTGCTTGCCCTCACCTATCTTGTCCAGTCCTTTGTTGTGCCTTCACAACATTTTGGGGGTCATCTACTCCTTTTATCTCCATTCCCACAGCCTCCACCCTGCTCACCCTGCCTCAGGTCTCCAATCCCTCTTCCACACATACAGTCACCAAAGTAGTTTTCCTGACTTGCACCCATCTTCTCAATACATTCTAGGGGCTCCCTGCAACCTCCAGAATCAAATACAGGGTGTCGCACAAGTCTTAGAGCTTTATCACTATTAAAGTTTAAAACTGCACCGAGACCTCTGGGTCACCCTATAGGAACTCTTTGGTAGGTAAAGCTCTTCACCCCCTAGCCCCCTCCTGCCTTCCTGCCTCTTCTTGCTGTTTTCACAATGCTCCAAATCCCTTCTCTCTGCGGCTTTGTGCTGGCTGACCCATATGCCTGAAATCTCTTCCTTCCTCAATGCCACCTCTTGGAATTCCTGGGTTCCTTTAAGACTCAGCTCAAGGCCCTTTGTGTGGAAGGCCCTCCTGCCCCCCAATGCCTAGTGCCTTCCCTCTCAGGTTACCTTTACTGTACATGCTTCTGTGTGTATAGCCTGTCTCCTGTTAGACTGTAAACTTTGAGGAGAGGGGCTGTTGTTGCTTATATCCCTAGCACTTAGAAGTGATTCAGAGCTATTTGTTCCTAGCACAGGGCAAGCATTTAACAAACACTTACTAATTGACTAAAGGGCTCCATCCTGACTCCTCTTCTTTCCAAGCTCTTTTAGAGAGACCTCATCAGGACCTAGAGACTGTCAATTCCCTCCATGTAGAGGACTCCCAAATCTGTACATCCTCCCTAATCTCATTGCCTCAATACTAATCCTGCATTACTGGCTGTCCCATAAGCATCTCAAACTCTCCATGTCCAAAGCTGCTCCCTCCCTCCTCCCTATTTCTGTCATGGAGTCATTATTCTTTCACAGTAGGGAAGAAGGTATTAGATAAAAAAGACTAAAGATTTTAAAGAGTTGGGGAGGAGGGGGACGATGATCAACAGAGCAAACCTCTGGAGAAGATGGGAGAGGATGGGATAAAGGCCAGTTGGGACTATGTAATCACAAAGACCTTATCATGTTATGCTCTGTGTTACACATTAGCTATTTTGTCCATCTAGAACCAAGATGGTAACCTCAGAATCAGTCACCTTTGACTCTTCCCTTCCCCCACCCCTCTATGTCCATTTGCCAAGTCCTGTCAATTCTATCTCCCCAGGGCTCTCCCACATGCCCTTTTCTGTTTATTCACACACCATCATTTTAGTGCAGTCCCTCATAATTTCTTGCCTAGATTTACGGCATGAGCCTCCCAAATGGTCTTCCTGCCTCCAGCCTCATTCTGCTCCAACCCACCCTCACAGGTGCCAAAATATGTCTAAAAGAACACGCCGGATCGTCCTGCTCCCCTGCCCAAGACGCTCTTGTGGATCCTGGGATAAAAAACAGCCTCTTGTCTGTCAATCAGAGACCTTCACAATCTCTCTTTCTAGAGTGATTATACGTGACTCCCCCTCATGTGCTCTGTATTCCAGCCAAATTGACCTACCTACTTTTCCATGTGTTTGTACAGGCTGGAATGCTTTCTCCTCTGCCTCAGAGAATCCCTAGCTTTAGCTCAGCTTACCTTCTACCTCCAGCAGGCCTTTTTCCTATTTTCACATTTGTAGTGCTCTCTCTGTCTCTGTCTCTGTCTCTGTCTCTGTCTCTGTCTCTCTCTGTCTCTCTCTGTCTCTCTCTCTCTCTCTCTCTCTCTCTCTCTCTCTCTCTCTCTCTCCTCTCACTGTCTTTTACCTTGGCTCTGATTCTCTCTCTCTCTCTGGTTGTCTCTCTTTAATTCTCTGCCTCTCTCCGCTGCACCCTCCCCCCCAATTACTTTGAATTTACTCAGCATATCTTCTGTATACAAGTGCATTTTGTTTCTCCCCAGTAGAATGTAAGCTTTTGACAGCAGGGACTATTTCATTTTTGTCTTTGTATTCCCAACAGGTAATATAATGCCTGTCCCATAGGAGGTGCTCAAAAAATGCTTATTAAATTGAACTGAATGTAATCAACTGCCAGTTATCTGCAGAAATAGAATGGCACAATGTGGATAAGCCAAAAAAGAACAAATAATTGTAATTGAAATGCAATATAGGATTTTTTTTCTTGTTGGTTAGGAAAAGGGACAGTAGATGTGCATTCCTAATATGGTTTTATTTAGCTAATAATAAAATTGAATATAATAATAGTGATAAATAATTAAAAATAATAAAAGTGACTTTCCTAAGCCTAGTAACAAAACCAGGACTAAGTTCGATGTCAGAATCATGGGATGTTAGAGTTGGAAGCCAAAAAAACCAAATCACTTGGTCTAACCCCCTCATTTTACAAATGAGGAAATTTTTGAGGTTGTGGGCTCATAGATCAATTTACAAATGGAACAGACTGCAGAAGCCATCTAGTGCAACCCACTTGTTTTTTTTAGTCTTGAAAACTGAGGAAACTCATGCAAACTTGTTTTACAGTCATGAAACCAGAGAGAGATGGTAACTGACTTGTTCAAGCTGATACAACCAGTAAGTGGTCAAGCCAGGATTCAAACCTATGTCTTCTGAGTTTATATGGGAATGTAATGGACCGTAAGAACCAAGGCTAGGGTTCTTCCCACCCCATCTGCCTCAATTTCTAGCTCATTTTTTGTTTCTGCTAGACTATGGGTCCTTAAGCTTTTGTATCAAGAACCCCTTTGGCAGCCTGTTGAAACCTATGGCTTACCCAGAATTACTCAGAATGTTTTTAAATGCACAAAATGGGCAGAATTGCTAAAGAAACCTAATGAAATGTAGTTAAGATACTAAAAAAAAAAAAGAAAAAGAAAACTAATTCCTGGACCCCCTGTGCTAGACTGACTGCCTATTCCCATCCTCTTCTATAGTTCTTGTCCTTAACCTACTGAGAACTGAGGACATGTGACACGTCATTTCCAAAGGCTAAAGTTCCTATTTAGTGGGCAGGGTTATTTGTATTCCATGAGCACTATTTGACAGTAGAAGAAGAAGATATAGCAGAGTCGAAGGGGAAAACACCTATTCTGAAAATATCCCCCCTCCCCCACCCCACATATAAGAAATAACTAGAAAACCTGTGACCACTCAAGGCAGCAGGGGGACAAATGAACTGTACCCTAGATCTCCTCTAGCTGTTACATAAGTGAGAACAGGACCCATCCCATATTCACAGACCAAGGGCAGTGTCACTCTCATTTCCCTCTTTTCACCTCTTAGGGCCATAGTGAAATTATTTTCACATCTGCAGGGATATAACGATCAGTGGTTTCCCATTATGTTGCTCAAGCGCTTGTTCCCAGTGACCATAGCCTGTTAAATCAAAAGAACCCAGGCTCTTCTCTTTATTTATTTATTTTATGAGTGTCAAGTGTTTGGTCTGAGGCCGATTTGAACTCAGATCCTCCTGGCTGCAGGGCCGGTGCTCTATCTGCTGCACCACCTAACTGCCCCCGAGCCCAGGCTCTTCCAAGAGGCTCATGACAAGGGCTGACTGAAAAAGACAGTGGGGTTGCGTGTCCAGAACTTACCAGTGCTTGTCATTGGTTTGGAGACACTTGATCCCATTTTTTTTTGTTCCTCTGAAGCAAAAAAAGAAAAGGACAGGGTCAAAACTTGGCAGGTAGAGATGTTCTCAGTTGCCTGTGTCTGAGATTGTATGCAAGAATCATAGAATCAAATCTGTCTTTTGAGAGCTGAAGGAAACCTTAAGGAAGACCTAGCCCAACTCCCTCATGTTGCAGATGACATATTTGAAGAGCAAGGACTTGCCCAAGGTCATGCAACTATTACATGCTTTTGAAACCTCAGTGTTATCCCAGACTTTCTTTTTCTTGCTTACTCTACACATCCAATCAGTTGCCAAATCTTGGAATTCTTTTCTCTTCAATATTGTACCCATATACGTATACATACACACACATATACTCCTCTCTTTCTACTCACAAAACTACCATGCCAGTTGGACCCTTATTACCTCTTGCTTGGACCATTGCTATAGCTGCTAATGGATTCCTCTCTCCACTACAAATCCATCCTCAACACAGCTAATAGTGATTTTCCTAACATGAAGATGTGTGTGACTGTATAACTACCTCCCCCAGTCCCCTACTCGATAAACTTCAGTGGCTCCCCATTACCTCTAGGATCAAATGCAAATTCCTCTGTTGAAAGTAGAAAAACTATTGAACTAATAAATAAGACTAAGAGCTGGTTTTATAAAAAAAACACAATAAAATAAATAAACCTTTGGTTAATTTAATTTAAAAAAAAAAGAAAACCAAATTACCAGTATCAAAAATGAAAAGGGTGAATTCATCACCAATGAAGAGGAAATTAAAGCAAATATTAGGAGCTATTTTGTCCAACTGTATGTCAATAAATCTAACAATCTAAGTGAAATGGATGAATATTTATAAAAATATATAAACTTCCCAGATTAACAGAAGAGGAAATAAAATACTTTAATAACCCTACTTTAGAAAAAGAAATTGAACTCACCATCAATGAACTCCCTAAGAAAAAATCAGGTGGCCAGATGGATTTACAAGTGAATTCTACCAAACATTTAAAAAACAATTAATTCTAATGCTATATAAACTACTTAGAAAAATAGGTGAAGAAGGAGTCCTACCAAATTCCTTTTATGACACAAATATGGTGCTGATACCTAAACCAGGGAGAGCCAAAACAGAGAAAGAAAATTATAGACCAATTTGCCTGATGAATATTGTTGTAAAAATTTTAAATAAAATATTATAAAAGAGATTACAGCAATTTATTACCAGGATAATGCACTATGACCAGGTGGGATTTATACCAGGAATGCAGGGATGGTTCAATAATAGGAAAACTATTAGCATAATTGATCATATCAACAAGAAAACCAACAGAAATCATACAATTATCTCAATAGGTGCAAAAAAAAGCTTTTGACAAAATATAGCACCCATTCCTATTAAAAACACTAGAGAGGATAGGAATAAATGGAGCTTTCTTTTAAAATGACAAGTAGAATCTATCTAAAACCATCAGAAAGCATTATCTGTAATGGTGATAAGCTAGAAGCCTTTCCAAAAAAATTGGGGATGAAACAAGGATGCCCCTTGTCACCACTATTATTCGATATTGTACTAGAAATTTTAGCTTTAGCAATAAGAAAAAGAAATGAAAGGATTTAGAATAGGCAACAAGTAGACGAAACTATCACTCTTTGCAGATGATATGATGGTATACTTAGCGAATCAACTAAAAAAATTCTTGAAATAATGAACAACTTTAGCAAAGTTTCAGGATATAAAATAAACCCACACAAATCATCGGCATTTCTATATTTTACTAACAAAGCCCAGCAGCAAGAAAATAACTGTAGACAATATAAAATATTTGGGAGTCTACTTGACAAGACTAACCCAGAAACTGTATGAACACAATTACAAAACACTTTTCACACAAATGAAGTAAGATCTAAACAATTGGAAAAATATCAATTGCTCATGGATAAGCTGAACTAATATAATAAAAATGACAATTCTACCTAAATTAATTTACTTATGCGGCGCCATACCAAACTACCAAAAATTATTTTATAGAGCTAGAAAAATAATAAGATTCATCTGGAAGAACAAAAGTTCAAGATATCAGGGGAATTAATAAAAAAAAATGCAAGAGAAGATGGTCTAGCCATACCAGATCTAAAGCTATATTATAAAGCAGCAATCATCAAAATTATTTGGTACTGGCTAAGAAATAGAGTGGTGAACCAGTGGAATAGATTAGGTACACAAGTTACAGTAGTGAATGACTATAGTAATCTACTGTTTGATAAACCAGCTTCTGGATAAGAACTCACTATTTGACAAAAAACTACTGGGAAAACTGGAAAATAGTATGGCAGAAACTAGACCAACATCCTACACCTTCTGTCAAGATAAGGTCAAAATGCGTACATGATTAAGACATAAAGGGTAATACCATAAGCAAATTAGGAGAACAAGGAATAATTTACTTGTCAGATCTATGGAGAAGGGAAGAATTTATGACCAAACAAGAGATAGAGAACATTATGAAATGCAAAATGGATAATTTTAATTACATTAAATTAAAAAGATTTTGCACAAACAAAATCAACACAACCAGGATTAGAAGGAAAACAGAAAGACTGGAAACAATGTTTACAGCAAGTGTTTCTGATAAAGACCTCATTTCTCAAATATATGTAGAGAACTGAGTCAAATTTATAAGAATACGAGTCACTTGCCAATCGATAAATGGTATGAATAGGCAATTTTCAGATGAAGAAATTAAAGCCATCTATAGTCATATAAAAATGCTCCAAATCGCTATTGATTAGAGAAATGCAAATTAAAATAACTTTCTTCTCTCACAATATGACCAATGTGGAATTATGTTTCCATGATTGCACATGTATAACCTATATCAGATTGCTTGCCATCTTGGGGAGGGGACAGGGAAAAAATATTTGAAACTCAAAATCTTATAAAAATGAATGTTGAAGACTACATGCAACTGGAAAAAATAAAATAACTATTTACAAATATATATGTATACATATGTATATATGTATATTTCTTTGTTTAGCATTTAAGACTCCTCACAACTTGGCCCTTTCCTACTTTTCCAACTGTTGAACCCATTATTCCACACTATGCTCTCTATGGTCCACTGGGCCACTTACTGTTTTTCACAAACCACATTGTGTCTCTGCACTGGCTATCTCCCTTCTTCCTTTCCTCCACCTCTTAGACTCCCTGGCTTCCTTCAGGACTCAGTTGAAGTGCTACCTTCCGTGGGAGACTTATTCTAGACCCACCAGGTACAAGTGCTTTCCCCTCTGTGGCTTTCATGTACTCTGTATCTTGTATGTACAGATACAAGATGTATGTGGTATTTCTCTTTTTAGAAGGCATAAAGGCAGAGGACTGGTTTTACTGTTGCTTTGTGTTTGTAGCACTTAGCAGAGTGCCTGCCACAAAGCAGATGATTAATACATGTTTGTTGATTCATTGATTGGTTTAACATTATCCCTGTGAAATAAATTTAAAGCCACTGAACTCATTCTCCGAAGTCATAAAAAAGGAGAAAGCCATGTAATTCCCCCCAAGAGCTTGTTTCTTACTTATGCACACAGAGAAAAAAGAGGAAACAACTGAAAATTAATTTCAAAACCCCAAATATTTGGCAAAATCAAAGCATTGATAAAGTGAAATATACCTTAAAACAATTTTTGTTTGACTAAATCCTGGAGCGCTTCAGTCATACAAACTTCACCCTTTAGGACGATGGTATTTCCCAACCATTTAAAGAGAACCTCTTCCTAAAAAACAAAACAAAATATATATAAACAGGCAAGATTTTACCACTTAAACGAACAGAAAGGCTACTTAGCTGATGATTTCTTTAGGAGAACAATTTCTTTTAGACTAATGAAGAAAGAAGTGTAAAAAATGAGTTTACCTTAGAAGCAAAACTCTGGTAAAATGACTGAAAAAACGTTGGACTGCATTGTTGTACTTACTTCCTTTTTAGGGACTCAGCTCATTTTTGCAACAATGATGAAATACTGTAGTTAAACCACCAATCAAAGTAGCCGGGGACATGCTACAAAGTTCCCATATGCCTTCAGCTTCAGACTTCTCATTACAAGTAAGTCACAGGGAAAGTGCTGTCAAGTGGCTTTGTTTCATAAGCAGGGCTTCTTACCGAACCATTTTGGTCCTTAAATGTCCCAATAGTCGCTTGTCAATCTGACTTGAAACAGGAACACAGAAGAAGAATAGAGGGACAGCTAGGTGGTACAGTGTATAGAGGACTGGCCGTGGAGTCAGGAGGACCTGAATTCAAATCTGGCCTTAGACACATAACACTTACTAGCTGTGTGACCCTGGGCAAGTCACTTGACCCCATTGCCTATCCTAAAAAAAAAAAAAGAAAGAAAGAAAAAAAGAAAAGAAAAGAAGAATAGAAAAGGACCATTGTGTTATTCAGCCAAGTGTTTATTGAATGCCTCAGCAGCATGGTGCAGTGGGAGGACCACTAGGTTTAGGGTCAGGTGACCCTGGTTTTGATCCTGGTTCTGCCATTTATTCTTTGTGCGACTGTGGGCAAGTTGCGTTCCTGCTCAGTGCCTCAGTTTCCTCATCTGTAAAACATGGGCCTTGGACTAGGCCAGGGGTTCTGTAAAACTTGGACTCAATCAAAAGGCCACACCCAAGGACCTAGAGGGCCACATGTGGCCTCGAGGCCGCTGGTTCCCCACCCCTGGACTAGGCAATTTCTAATATCCCTTCTGTCTCTAACTCCACAAACTGATGATCCTACTTTGTTTGCAGCATCCAACCCAGGGATACAGAAATAAGACGTGATCCCTGCTCTGAGAATCCTTAGAAGCCAGTTGAATATAATTCAAGAAGCATTTATTAAATGCTTGTGCATAGGCATCGGTGATTCAAAGACAAAAGCAAACCCAGTCCTCGTCCTCAATTCCAGCGAGGGAAGGAAGACAACACTGCCACCGATTAGGAAATATGTAATTAGTAAATTAGTTAAAAACACAAAAGGCAGAAAAATGTAAGGTCCTGGAGGGCAGGGGCTGTTTTCATTTTTGCCTCTCTCTCCTCATCCCTTTCTTGCCCCAGTACCTGGCACCAGGTGGGAAATTACTAAAGACTGAGGAGGATCAGAGAAGCCTTGAAGAGAACTAGGGATTTTGAGAAGTAGAATGTAAGCTCCAGGAGGGCAGGATCAGGGGGCCGGGGTCTACAAGGGCTCCTCTATACACAGTCCCTGGCACACAGCAACAGATCCATGCTTGTTGATTGATTGAAGAGGTGAGGACGTGAGAAGTGTGAGCACTTCCCATGTGAAGATAGCCTCTGCAGAGACACGGAGGCAGCAAGCAAGTTGGCTTTTTTCTTTTTCAAATGTAAAGAAGGGAGGTATTTCTCATCTCTTCTTCTAGGCCATACTTGGTCGTTACAAGACAATATTTAGGATTTTTAGACGTCATTCTTTCTGTTTACAATATTGCAATAATGTATATTGTTCTCCTTGGTGAGGCTCACTTAACTCTGCTTCACTTCATATATCTCTCCCCATTCTTCTCTGAATTCTTCCCACTCATCATTCCTTATAATGTGGTAGTAATCCACTACATTCATGTATAATTTATTTAGCCATTCCCTAGTCAATCTACTTTGTTTCTAGCTCTTTGCTACCACAGAAAGTGCCATGATGGATATGTGCTATGGGACCTTCTGATCTTTGGAGGCCCTGGGTTGAAGAATACAAGCATCTTATTCATTTTTTAGTATAATTTCAAATTGCTTTCCAGAACATGGTAGATGAGAGGGAGAGAAATGTGAAGTCAGTTTGGAAAGACAGATGAGAGTCAAGTATGAAGACATTTTGTGGTGGGAGTAATGCCCTAATGTCATACCCCACCCCACCCCTTAAATATAGACTGGTTTTTCCTTAAAACAAATTGAAACTGCTCAGGATTTAATTTGCTCGATTTAAAGGTCATGTGACCAACAAGATGGTGGACTAAACATTTTCTCCAAACCCCACTGATTCCAAAATCCCCTAAAGAGGGATGATGTACCATTTAGAACACAGCTGAAACTAGAGGAAAAGAAAACAAGAAACCCAACAAGGCAGCAGCCTTATGAATTAACATAGAAGAATGCTAAACTCACTTAGTACCCCTCCCCAACCAAATTCCATGTTCAGATGGGGTCCTCAAACTGACTCACAGGCTTGTTTGTATGTGTGTGTGTGTGTGTGTGTGTGTGTTGTGTGTGTGTGTGTGTGTGTTTTGAGCTTGAACTTTTATGAAAAGTTTATTTAACATATCAACCTTCCCCCCTCCCCCCAAACTGGAGTTTCTTCTTGTTTCCATACTGTGTATGGGTAATGACAAAAACAGCTGCTGACAAAGCTGAACAGAACTATTTCAAGAGAGTATAGCTAACAGCAGCGTCAGCTTTTTTTTCTCTTTCTAAAGGCAAAATAGAAATAAATACATGTATTTATAAAATATATGTACATATACATCTATACATATACACAATGTATAGATACATATATAATACAAATATGTGATATGTATTATATACATATATGCTATATATATACATATCCATGTATATAATACATATCACAACAATGGTTTAGACACACTAAATGAGCTCAAGTGAGATCTGACAACAGGCATACCCAGGAACCACAAAGTTGAGTTGAGCTGCTTCTAGGGCTCTCATTGCCCCATCTTCTGGCCACTGCTTGAGGCCTGAGGGAGAAAATTGCCTAACGCCAAGGAAAGGGACAGGAAGCAATGCAAGGTCACCTTGGAAGGGTTGTGCACAGGCACCAGCAGGCGGGACAGTGGAATCCATTAGGCATTGCTCAGGGTGGCTCCCCCAGGGAGGACTTTGCCCTCCAGCAGCTCTAGACTGGCACCACCCCCAGTGCTTACACAGCTGACTTTGTCCTCAGTGTTCCGTTTGGTACAGCAAGCAGTAGTATCCTCATCACTTGGCCTCTGCCACATTGTTCATTAGCTCTTTGGTTCCTGGAACAGAGGCTTCCCACTCAAATTCTCCAACGGGTGCATTCCACACAATATATTTGGCCTGGGGCCACAGCTTCCAAGTACTTCTAGCTGCTCTCAGGGCCACAGTCCAAATCCATCCATCCAGCAGTGATGCCAGGGGCCAATGTGGCTTGTCCAGTCTTGGCATTCTCATCAAACTTGTGCATTGTAATGAAGTCAATAGGCAAAGCGATCTTGACGCCATTCTTCTCAGCCATTGGTCAAAGACAATCTTGGCCCCCTCTTCACCAAAAAGGGAAGTTCTGTTGTCGAGCACCTTGAGGAAGATGAAACTCATTCCACCACCTATAATAAAGTCTCCTTGACTTTATCTAGCACATTGTTGATCAACTGGATTTTGTCAGCAACTTTAGCTCCACCCAAGATGGCCAGGAAAGGCCTCTTTGGGATCTCCACCTGGACAAAATAAGTCAGCTCCTTTTTCTGTGAGGAAACCACGTGCCTCCTGAGTCAGAGCCACTCCCACTACAGAACCGTGGGTGTGGTGAGCAGTACCAAAAGCGTCATTAACATAGACACCCTGTCGCTTGGAGAGGGATACGTAGAAGGATTCTACTTTGGCTGGCTCAGCTTTGATCTTGTTCCCAGAAGCATCTTTGCCTTTTCCTTCTTCTACATGGAAGCGACGATTCTCTAGCAAAATGATAGAACTGTTAGGTGGGTTAGCACAAGCTTTCTCCACTGCTAGACCCACCCAATCCTTCAGGAACAGAATACCTTTGCCCAGCAAGGGTTTGAGCTCTGCAGCCACGGGCTCCAACGAGTATTTGTCAGGCATGGAGAAAACATCAGGTTGGCCTGAGTGGCTCATCAGAACAATGGGCTTGGCTCCATTATCCAAGAAGTAATCGATGCTAGGAAGAGTAGTCCTGACTCTAGTTGCTGTTTATATCTTTGTTCCTCATGGGAACATAAAAATCCACCCGCATGATGACTCTTATCCCGTTCAGGTCCACCTTGTGCAAGGTCAGTTTGCTGGAAAGAGAGCCATGTTGGTGGAGAGGAGATAGAGGGATGGCTGAGACTGTGGCTGCGACTGGAGCTTGGGCTGCCTAAGCTAGAGACTTCTCTGTGCCCCAGGGTCAGCACCTACTGCACAGGCTTGTGTTTTGAGACCCACTCAGGGATTCTCTCCACACTGCAGAGATTCTGCCAGAATGTCTCATCCCCTGCCCATCCACCTCTCAGCTGTAACAAGCAAAACACATTTACTCTGCTTTGCCACTGCAAGAGGATAGGGAATGGGGGTAGATGAGTGAAGCCAGGGAGGTCAGTAGTTGGAGCAGAGGAGGAAGAGCACTCCAGGAATAGGGGATAGCCAGAGAGAATGCCCAGAGCTGAGAGATAGAGTGTCTTGTTCATGTAACAGCTAGAAGACAAATGTCACTAGATCAAAGAGTCTGTGTCAGGGAGTGAGGTGTCAGAAGAGGGGAAAGGTAGAAGGGGGCAGGTTATGAAGGAGGTAATAAAAAGCTACTGGCATTTTGTATTTGATTCTGAAGTCAATAGGGAGTTACTGGCATTTACTGAGTAGGAGAGAGTGATATGGTCAGACCTACACTTTAGAAAAATCACTTTAGTGGCTGAATGGAGGATAGATTAGAATGGGGGGAGACTTCAGACAGGCTATTGCAATAATCAAAGTGTGAGGTGATGAAGGTCGGTCCCAGAGTGGTGGCTGTGTCAGAGGGGAGAAGCAGGGATGGTATTCCAAGAAGTTTGTGTGGGATGCCACTCAAATTAAAAAACACACAGAGGTATCCAAGGAGAAACAGAAAGTTAATTTATTATTATTATTATTATTATTATTATTATTATTATTATTATTATTTCAAATCTCGAGATTTGGGTGTCCCTCCACCAGAATGCTCTGATGAGGGGAAACAAAGTACAGGAGCAAAGGACCTGGTTAAATAGCCCTAATGGGCAAATCCCCCCTCCCACCAACTGGC